GCAGCAGCGGTCCGGGGTGGTATCCTGCGAGCTTTAAGCGTTCCCTGTTCACATCACACAAACGACCGGGCGGCACTTTGGAATTCAAATTAGATATAGACGACGCGGTAGCCCGCGGGTCGCGACGATCGCGACGAGCGGCCAAGGTCGGCCGGAAGGGCTTCCGGAGGGAGGGGGGGTAGTGGCGAGCGGTGACGTGACGGATAGACGGACAGTGGCGGTGGATTTAACGAATTTCCTCTCACCCGGTCATAATATATATATATATATATATATATACATTATACAAGCATAGTGGCTGCAGTATAACGGTATATAGATATATATATATAGAGGCGCGCGCCGGGTTACAAAGTTTTATTCGCAGCTCTTCCGGAAAGCTGGCCAGCGGCCGGACCGTCCCTATATAATTGAGGTTGAAAAGACGTGTAAAGGGACGGGGTGGAGGTGGTGACTGCGGCACGGGAGGAGGCGATCGAGGGCCGAGGCTGTTTTGTATTCCACGTCGTTAACATGCGATTGCGCTACCTTGTCTCCCCGGGGGTGTGTGTGTGTGAGTGTGTGTGCGTGCGTGTCCGGGACGGTGTTGGTCTGCGATGGGAGGGTAGGGGCGAAGGAAACGTGCGAAAGACTCGCGGGATGACCGTTCAGTGGGTGCCAAAAACGCGTCCCGTGCACAATCGATAGCCACGTCGGCGGCTGCCGATTTTGGCCACCACTGTTTACCATCTGCCGCCGTTCCCAGCGCCACGCCGCCGTCGCCGTCGTCGCAGCGATGCATATAGTAGCAGTGTTGTATATAGTCCTCCTCCGAAGACTTGGACACGGGCGTCCGCGTATATACACCAGCTCCACTCCCGCACTAACCTCCGTATATATATAGTCCGGTCGATAACCGCCCAGCTGCGTTATCTTCACACACGCACACGAGCCCATTTAAATATTATAATAATATCATATTATATACTGTCGTTTAATTCACACACTGCTTTGCCCACGCGTTAATAATAATATGTTACACGTCCTCGGACTTTTGTCTCCCGCCCTCTACAGGTTAGGTTGGGTGGTGGGTGGATGATGGTGTGTACCGCCTAATAGGTATATATATTTATATGAGATTTATTCGGGACATCGAGAGTACTACGTTCGTCGCAAAACGTAAAAACTGGAGACTGACACGGACGTCATCAATCCGCGCGCCACGCATATATAATATATTTGATGTATGCTCCTTTATATATACAGAGTGCGTCTTATGTATACGTATCTGTGTGTTGTGTGTGTGTGTGCAGATATATACAATATACATGTACCTAAGCCCTCCGCGCGTCTTAATCGGAGAATCGAGTGAGGGACGTTAATTAATAATTATTCCGCGAGCGCGTTTGTGTGCTGGCGCGCGGCGATGGATGGATTATGTTCCCATGGGGAGCCGAACGATGTTTAAGCTGCTCTCCGCGCGAGCGTGTGTATGTATTATATATATATATATATCTATATAAACTCGTGTATACCCTGCGCCGGATGAGGACTATATATCGGCGAGGATATTTGTTTATTCCTGCGCCCGTGTGCGCACACATATAATCATTATCCTGCTATCCTTCCTGCATTATATAGGTACACGTCACCTTCTCCTCCTCGTCCTCCCGCGCATAAACTCGTACTCGTCCTACTCTTTTACTACCCGCCGAATCCATAACCTCACCCACTACCCATTTCACGGAAAGGTGCCACCCGTGATAACGACATTACCGCGGGGCGCCCGCGTATAATCGGCACGTGTGGAATTTCGCGCGAGCTCCCGCATACCTACCTATGCCCAGCGCGCCCGCAAGTTAATTAAATTCGCACGGATACGTCAAAATAACAAATCGCGGGCCAACTACCGGGATTCCGTTAATTGTTATGGAAATATTCCAGGTGGCGGCGGGTGTAGTGCTGAATTTTTCACATAATTTCTGCGTTACCGACACCCCGTGTAGTCGGAGTTGTGAATGTTTTAAAAAAAATATGTTTGTACATAAAACATAATTTATATTAAATTGACAGTGTTTATTATAATATTGTGTAGCTATTCGCGCCCCGATTAAATGTTATATACTATACCAAATTACCCAAATCAATGGCCGGGGGGGGAGGGGGAGGAGCTGGTTGTACACCAAATTATTTTATCCTGTAAATTAAAAATATATAAATCGCAAGACTGTGCGGTGACATTAGGTGTTTGAAATAATTTTTTTTCTATCTAAGCTTTCCAACTGTTAGCTTAGTTTTGGTGAGAACATTCTAAACATTATATGGTTAATGCAGTTGAGTGAAGACATACATAATATAAAGATGAAGAAAAAAACTAAACATACATGTTAGGTACCTATATTTCATTAGTTACAATTTGTAATGTGGTATCAAATAGTTTCATCAAATTATATTATCGGATAGTTTAGTGTTATATGTAAACACTTATTTGAAATTGTATTCTAAAACTTAAAACCATAATTTATTATTGACACATTTTAATCAAAAAATTAGGAAGTTAATTAATTTGAATAGACCTTTCTTAGTAAGTATTTGAGTTAACCAAATATGTCAATATACAAATCTAGTGTAAATTATTATTTCAACTATATCTTTTTAAAAATATTTTTAATTCTATGTGATTTGGTATTCTGTTATTTGAATAAAATAGTAAAAATATAATATACATTATACATGCTACTAATTATACTATGTTATACTTATATTAGAACAAATTAGGTATAAAAATGTATTTTGATATTATTAGAAAGAAATTTAAATAATAAAAAAATTAAAATAGAACATTTCAATTTGTCCTTAGGTATACTGTATTGAATTACGACCCCTTAAAAATACCAGTGTCTGGATGAAATGTCCTCCTCCAAATTTAGATTTAAGCAGTTGGATTCTGTAGCCAGTTGATGCTCATAGTCTACATATAAATAACCGAAGTAAAATAATATGGTTTTCTCTCTCTGTGCACGTTGAGTCAAAAACTAATTTTTAAATTATGTTAAGTTGCGTTTACTTGTTGAAATTATACTCGTAAGACTAATTCCTACCCAAATATAGAACACAAAAATAAATTAAACACATGCGTTATGAGTAATAATATTATATTATTTGTTTAATAATGCAAGTATATATAAGTAAATAGTGCATTTTTATTTTAATATCTAAGATTATTTTGCAATTCATATACATATCAAAAAAATAACATTTTTAAGGGTAGTATTTTCTGTTATGCTTATGATAAAAGATGAAACGAAAATAGCATAACGCCGGTTCTCAGAAATCATAAGACTTATGAATTATAGCGTTTATATGATGCGCATAATCTAGATTCATTAAAACGAAATGTACGTTTCTATATTATAGCAAATAAATTGTCTTTTAGTATTATCCGAAAACAATTATTAAATCGATGTACATATTTGATTATCTTTGATGAAAAATAACTTACAGTATAGATACAACTGCAGTTAAATGTACCCGCACTATATAGGTACGTACCTAATATTATAATAAATAGTTACAAAACAAATTCCGTCCAAAAGTTTCGCAGTCGAGTTCAACAGTGATCTCCACACTTTATATTCTATTTTATAGCTTAGCATTCATTATTTTACATTAACACCAACAACTTTTAGCATATACCGGTGAAATGTAATTTCACAAACCATCGAATACCGTTCCTTGTAGAGCGTTTCCATAAATTTTACCTACCATACTAACTTAGTTTGACGGATCGCTTAATATAATGAGTAAAATAATATGTGTAAAAGTACCTACACCGTAGTAATTTACGCATGCTGTCGTAATTAATTGTTATTGTTATGTGTGACAAGGCATACAATAATAATTGTGTTGTCGGAGTGTGAGCGGGGAACGTGTCAAAACAACGGACGATACACATCGCTTTAAAAGTTTAAAATGATATTGTCATTCATAATGATTCCTACCTAGTAAACTTTTCGCTTATGATTTGTTTAACTCGTGGTTTGTACTATCATCGTTTTTGTTATAACTATATATATTATATACGCCTTGAATTGCCGTTCGATTTGCAATTTTTTTTTATTTTTTACTAAATCAAGTCCACGGCGGCTGTGGCCATTGGATTAGATTTGCAATATTATAACAATCGATTAACATAATATTACACTTATCTATTAAACAGCAATTTTAAAATGTTTTGAAGATCTCGAGCGAATGCATTTAACGGCTAAAAGCTAAATATCACGAAAGCGATGAATAATTATTCATATTTTTTGCTAACCTAAAAAATCCAACAGAATATTAATTAATTGTTTTAACTGTAATGATAACTGCAGTACCTACAGCAATAGCCATAACGCCTCGCCTGATAGATTGTGTATTCAAATTCGATCCACAATTAATGAATTTTAATATTCTGCAAAAATTGTTTCACAAACACAAATACTCTTAAATTTATTATTTTCTCGGATAATATATTCTAATAGTAAGAATTGATTATAGGAGACGCGTTTAATTCTGGATAGCTGCAAATGCTGATAAAATAATATTAATAATATTTGTAATAATAATAATAACATTCAATAAAACATGTTTACATTAGGTTTTCATCAGAATATTGATAGCATGAAAATCTAATATAAAATGCAATATTATTATAGTGGTTTAAAAATTATTTTGAAATAAGATAAATGTTAAATTGGTCAAAAACGAAATACAAAACGTCCTTCACTAAACTTTTAGGTTATAAGATTACAACACTTAAATTATATTATAAGTAATATTTTAACGTATTAAAGTAATGCCATGTAAATGTTCTACCGTGGTCAGCATAACGTTATAGTAATTTCAAACAGTATATATTTTAAACGCTCGTCGAATAGTGATTAAAACCACAATCAGCCTGTAGCTTATTATAAACATATTATAATAATAGTTATTGTGATATCATCGTTACAGACCTAAGTCAAAAATTATCATTTCAGAATACCATATAAACGTCATACAGTCCGGACATGAAAAGGGAGACTGAGTTCGGTCATGACGATGCGGTGGTCATGGGGTGTGCAGTTCGAGACGAGATAACACGCGTAAGTATAATATTATGTAATAATATAATACACAGGTAGTATAATGATGTATATAAGTAATTTTCGTGCCAAATTCAAATTTAATTCATCAGTAAGTTGTGATATATCGTTGTCATGGTTATTCGTGCATTTAAATTGTTCACGACGATTTCCTTTAGAATAATACGCGTATATAGACATATTGCTTATAATAGCGATAACAATATAAGGTGAGCCTACATGTGCCCAAAATAATCGTGTATACTGTGATTAGACCACACTATTATATGTATAGTAAGTCCTATATTTTATAAAATATATTATTATAGGCACAAATGTCTATTGAAGCGATTACATTTTTAGGTTTCATAAACATTGGTATTAATGTAAAAATAAAAGAGTTCACTTTGAAATTTTCAAAAAATTTCCGTTTGATTTGAACTTGGAGTTTAGAAATCGATATTTCAATGATTTTGTCCCAAAATCTCAGCTTTTATAATATATTATAATTTCGGTGGAAATAGTATCGCCGTACTCGACGTCCGTCTAGATTTTCCAGGTCTGCGGACATCGGACACACACACACGCACACACACACACACACACACACACACACACACACACACACAC